GCTCGCCGCTTGCTCAGGGGCTCCCCTGGCCTCCCCCACCTGAGAAGGGCCTGGCGTGTCCCGGCGGGAGTGGGGGCCGGTTCCCGGCTGCGGGGACCCCGGGTTGCGGCCCTGGCTCCGCCCCGACGCCCCTCCCCAGCGCCTCGGATCTGATGTCCTTCCTTACAAAAGGGGACGAGGCCGCTGACCACGGCCGGCTTTCAGATGTGGGCTCCTGAGTCCACCATGGGAAAGGGATTTCTGGAGGCCCTGACCCCGGGAGCAAGGGCTTTCCGGTGGGCCCCTCAAGGCCGCCCCCAGGCCGCAGCCAGCCGGAAGCCCTCCCCACACCGCAGCAGGGGTCCCCGTGTCTCTGGGCTGTGGGGCGCTCCCATGGTCCCAGGCCTCGCCATGCCCCCTCTGCCAACCTCCCTCAGAGCTCAGGGCTGCCCTAGACTGTGGCCTGTCAGTCTGGGCACGGCGGGCAGTGCGGGCCCAGGCTCCCTGGTGTCTGTGGCCTGGCCTGTCTGTGGGGAGCAGCTGCCCAGGCTCGGGAGTCCAGTGCATGGACGTTCACAGCAGTGCTCGCTCTCTCAGAAGCAGCATCCCCCGACTGTGATGGGCAAAGGCCCAGCGTGCCCACACCAGGGCGTGGCCAGCACAGAAACAAGCTGGTTGAGAGCTAGGGGCCCAGCTGGGGTGCACAGGAGAGCAGCAGCCTGACCCCCGCAGGTGCCCCACGGCCCTGCCCCAGCTGGGGGGCAGCTGGGGTAACAGCAGGAGGCCTGGCAGTGGCCACCTGCCCTCAGTGGCTGCCTGCCCACGGTGGCAGCACAGCCTGCAATGAGACCCCAGAGGCTGGCACGGGGGCTGTGCCCTGTGGTCAGTCTCCTGCCAACTTACACCGACACTCAATAAAGTGTAATACAGCCTGGGCCCCCCTTGGAGGTGCAGCGGGTTGGGGCGCAGCGGGTTGGGGTGCAGCACTGCGAAACTGGCTGCAGGCGCTTCAGCAGGTGTTTGACCTCCCCCCAGGGAGGGACCCCAGGGCACAGCAGAACCCCCTGTCTCCCCGTCGCCCACTCAGCAGTGGGTCTCAGTGGATTCTGCTCCCCACTCTGTCCCTGAGGCGTCCTCTCACCCCCGCACCTCTGGCCTGCACCCCAATTGTGTGCATCATAAACACATCTTAGACCGTAAGCTTATTTCAGCCCGGAGGAATATTCCGCAGTTGTCCTGGAGTGGAAGGCGGCGGCCCTGGCTGCTGCG